TTCTCTTTGCTGTCTGATGCTAGAGAGAGAGGGAGCCATGTTGCAGTGCTCCGTGTGTGTACATAAAGTAGATTAGCCAAAATGCTGACTTGCTGAGGGCTGTTATGCAAGCTGCGCAAACTCTGCGGACCCCTAAGTGTGCCGATGTCTGTTGGCATCAGTCGCTGTGATGTTCGGGCGGAAAAAAAGCTTTTAAAGCTCCCGAACGATCGACGAGGAGGGAGAGAACATGCCAGTTGGGCTTGTGTCTCTGCCAGGGTCCTACCCGAGTGTAGGATGAGCTCCTGACATTATCAACATCACACTCTAACCAACTGAGTTAAACACGTGCTGTACAATTGAGCCACATTCATTTCTGTGCAGGGTAGTTTTTCAGGCTATATATATAATGTGTTTTCCAATTATTCCAATTATTCCCAAAGCAGGCAACATGAATTAAAACACAAGCTTAGTGAAAGTTTACCCTAAGAAAAACAACCCCACAGGTGCAGCCAGGTGTCTGGCTATAGAGCACAAGTGAAGCAAAGGCTCCATGACCTACAATGTTTGGCAGGGAAGAAAGGGGATTATATCTATGTTTGCATGGATAAAGTCACCCACACACACTGGAAAGAATTTTAGAGCAAATGTTCACCAGGAACCATCTGAGAAATATTTTCCCTTTCGTCTCAAATACCAGTACTTGATCACTGGTGGATAATTCGAATGACTTTTACAACTGTAAACATATAGTAATCCCAGACATTAAAATGCATGCAAATGGTGTCGTTCCTTTTGCTTTGCCATAAAATACAGCAGCTGAAGGCCATCTCCTTTGTAGAGAAAATATTTGGAGATCCACCCATGCTTGCCTAACATTGCTGTCATAGAAGTAAAGGATAGGAAAAGCACTTCCCCCCCCAAAAAAAATATAAAGTGAGTACTCTATTGTGAACAAGTCTGAAAAATATGTATATTTTCCTGCCTTCCTTTCTACAAATATTAGTGGCCGAAAGAAACTTTCTAGTTTAAGACCTGCAAAGGTCTGCCAAATTTAGACTGGACAAGGAGGGGACGACAGAGGACGAGATGGTTGGACAGTGTTCTCGAAGCTACCAGAATGAGCTTGACCAAACTGCGGGAGGCAGTGGAAGACACTTTCTGCCTCTGAGTTTTTTGTTCTGTTACAGTGGTACCTCGGGTTACATACGCTTCAGGTTAAGAACAGTTTCAGGTTAAGAACGGACCTCTGGAACGAATTAAGTACTTAACCCGAGGTACCACTGTACTCTCAAGGCATGCTTGGCTCCGGGAGGGGGGGCATTCAAAAATGCTTTCAAGAGACACTTTTAGCTGTTTCTCCCCAGTGCTGCTCCCCTCCCAATATTTCCCAGTTTCTCCCCTCTGCAGCCTCTGAACCTTCTGCAAACCACTATTCTAAATCTATACTGTCCTCCTCTTCTCTGGAAGGTGCAGGAAGAGGGGGGCCGGATTTAGGTTTGATGAGGCCCTAAGCTAGTGAAGGTAATGGGGCCCTTTATATGTCCAGCTGTCCTTTGTCAACAACAAATTGTCGCTGTTATTTGTGTTGAATATTTGCTATATGGTAATTTATGTGCCTGATAGGTATCTAAAGTCATTTGCACATAACAAATAGGAGCCTACACAACACAAAACACTGCTGCTGTTTGTAGGTTTTATTTTATTTGTTTTTTATCTTATATTCTGGAAATTATTGTTTTTTCCTTAAAAAAATTTTGGGGGTCCCAAGAGGGGGCCCTAAGCTATAGCTTGTTTAGCTTATACGTAAATCCGGCACTGGCCGGTTCCCACCACTTCTCCTCAGTCCAGCCCCTGACACCTGTTTGTTTCATTTGGTTTGGGAACAATGGTAGGAAAATTGTGTTTTTAGAAAGCGAGAGAAAGATGGAAGAGAAGAAGACCATTCCTTCATCTTCACCTGTTTAGCGCGCAGCAGGGTACTGGAAATGATGGATGAAATTGCTTTAAAACACACACACACACACCACAGCAAACTTTAGGATTGTCATCTAAATTCTTCAAAGTTTGCAACTCTAACCATTAGCATCATCCACGCAAAGCTGATATCTTTGAAACACAACCGAGTTTGGAATGTTTAATATTGACTGGATATTGATAAATGATAACCCAAAGAGAACATAAAGAAGTGAAACTGAAGCAGGTTTGGGTCTTGGCCATAAAAAATAGGTGTGGGTAAAAAGCATTCCTTCCTTGAGGTGTTCTAATAATACTTCCTAGTTCAAAAAAAAAAAAAAGTTTCTATGAAAGCAATTAGAGCAAATCAGCCAGGCCATTTTTATTGGTGCAGTAGTATTTTGTTTTTTGCTTTGTTTATTTTGCATTCCTTGGATGTGCCTTGCCAGATTCAACAAATTCTCTAGAGGCATTTCTAATAAAGATATAATCACCAGGCTTGCTATTTATGGATTACTTTACAACCGTGTTCAGGGAGATTTGGAATACACTAATTACAGCTCCAGCTGCTGCTGGAATGGAAGCTGCTTTTTTTATTACATCTAAAGATACAAATGAGATCAACAAGCAAATGGTTGACATATTTCACACACTGCGGCAGCAAAATTGGTCACATTTTATATCAGCAGGAAAATGATGTTGATATGGGGAGGGGAGAGATATCAACTGAAAACCATTACTATAATACTATCCCAGGAAATTTGACTATTACATAGTTACTGCCAGGACTGACACTTCCATTTATATATGCTTTTCATTATGATTTTGTCTGCCTATGTTGTTTTTGGAAGCAATAATATGGCATACAAAAATTAACTAATAACCTGCTATCTTAGGGCCCTGTGGTCTAAACCACGGAGCCTCTTGGGCTTGCCGATCGGAAGGTCTGCGGTTCAAATCCCCTTGATGCAGCTCCCGTTGCTCTGTCCCAGCTCCTGCCAACCTAGCAGTTCGAAAGCACACCAGTGCAAGTAGATAAATAGGTATTGCTGTGGTGGGAAGGTAAACGGCATTTCCGGATACTCTGGCAATTGTCATGGTCCTCCCTGCACCAGAAGCAGTTTAGTCCTGCTGGGCACATGACCCAGAAAACTGTCTGTGGACAAATGCCGGCTCCCTCGGCCTGAAAGCGAGATGAGCGCCGCAACCCCATAGTCTCCTTTGACTGGACTTAACCGTCCAGGGGTCCTTTACCTTTACCTTTTAACCTTATGGTCCCTTAGGTAAAGGACCCCTGACCATTAGGTCCAGTCATGACCGACTCTGGGGTTGCAACGCTCATCTCGCTTTATTGGCTGAGGGAGCCGGCGTACAGCTTCTGGGTCATGTGGCCAGCATGACTAAGCCACTTCTGGCAAACCAGAGCAGCGTACGGAAACACCGTTTACCTTCCCGCCACAGCGGTACCTATTTATCTACTTGCACTTTGATGTGCTTTCGAACTGCTAGGTTGGCAGGAGCAGGGACCTAGAAACGGGGGATTCGAACAGCTGACCTTCTGATCGGCAAGCCCTAGGCTCTGTGGTTAAACCCACAGCGCCACCCGTGTCTCTCAGGAGGGCATCCTATAGGCAATATCAGATTTCCTTCTCTGAGGACACAGAGAAAGAGAGAAATCTTTTTGGATTGGAATGCCAGACTTTGGCATAACTTGGCTTGGTTTTTTGTTTCGCATAGGTTCAACCATCTCTTGAGATAATAGTAAAAATAAAAAAATCACCACAAGAGTTCCCAAGGTGGGGCAGCAGACTTTGCCCCCACTCAGACGCTGGGTGCCAGTTTGAATTAAGATGGTGCTCTGAAATGCAACTTTGGTGTGACTTTATTGGCACACAGTAGGTTTGACTGCCTCTTGGGATAGCGTTTCCAAGCTCAGCTTGAGGTTTCCTGGGGTCGGAATAATAATAATAATAATAATAATAATAATAATAATAATAATTATTATTATTATTATTATTATTATTATTATTATTTATTTATACCCCGCCCATCTGGCTGAGTTTCCCCAGCCACTCTGGGCAGCTCCCAATCAAGTATTAGAAACAATACAGTGTTAAATATTAAAAACTTCCCTGAAGTTGTTTTCATTGAGGTTTGGGTGCCGGATGCCATTGTGATTCAAGATAACAGACTGAAATGTAACTTTGGAATGGCTTCATCCCTTTTTGGTGTCGCAGGTCCAAACTCACAGATTGCACTATTGAAAAATCACATTTTTTAAAATAGTTTCTACAAATTCTGGGCAGTGCCAGGCACTCCCCACTAGTCTGATATAAAAGTAGCCGGCCTATTTCACTATAAAAGCACTTCTTGCTTGGCCCATACACTTCAGGAGTAGAGTTGAGGTGAATCTCCCCTCCAAATTCACTATCACAGATTTTTATATCAAGTACTCTGAGCATTCACTACTTTTATTTATTTATCAGTTCGCATGCAATGGTATTTAGTATTTAAGGGCAGATAAGCTGGCATCAAACAGTATTTAGCAGTGCACCTTAGTATTGATTGTTTCCATGCAATAGCATTTGAAGCCTAATATAATATAATATAATATAATATATAATATAATATTAATTTATTTATACCCCACCCATCTGGCTGGGTTTCCCCAGCCATTCTGGGTGGCTCCCAATAGAATAAAAAGTGATAGAATATCAAACATTTAAATCTTCCTTAAACACGGCTGCCTTCTGTTATGGCATTTTACATTTGATACTAGCCAAAATCAAAAAAATCAAACCACAATGACCAATCAAAGTCAAGTTTCTAATATGGAGGTAAAATCCTCCATTTACATTTCATGTTTGAAAATGTAGGTGGATTTAAAAGTTGTGAGATCCTTTGAATTCTAGAATCTTGGTTTTTTTAAAAAAAGAGTTTTGAATTTGGTGGTTACTAAAAATATAAATCAGCGTGACCTTAAATGGTTAGTGTTTCCAGCCTTCTTTTGACCTTTTATTCAATGACAACTCATGATGATGTTCCTTTGTTTACTCCTTTGTCAGAAAACAGAGAGTGATGTAAGCAGCAGACCCGAAGCAAAGTTAGGCAACGGACTGCTATTGTGGCTTTCCCTTATACGGAGGTGAGTCTTCCTTCTATCTGTTCTGTCCTATTTGAATCTCTAACATGCAGCCAACCACTATCAGCTTTCTTGAACAATAAGCAACAAGTACTTAAAATTCCAAGGGAACGGGTCGTGTATGACAGACAAATCTAATCAGAGTCATGTGTGGCTTTCAATTCTTTTGCGGTGAGATGGAACATCACCCACTTTAAAATGAAACTACGTAGTTTAACCAGGTAGTCTCAAACCCACATACAGTAACCCTCTTAGTTTCAACTTTGGAGGGAGTAGAAGACAAGAACTTGCTTGCTATATTGCAAATGGGCAATATAGTTCCACCACAAGTGGTTTCACACTCACACACACACACACACACACACACACAATGTTTAAATTATTCTAAATGGTAAAACAGAAAATGTTTGTGTATATAGATATAATTTTATGTTTTACAATTTAGAATCAAGGAAATCATTGATATTTAAAGGATGTTTAAATGAGTATTCTAAATTGTAAAACAGAAAATGTAATTATATAGAAAATATATTCTGTTTTACAATTTAGAATACTCATTTAAAAATCCTTCAAATATCAGTGATAATGATTTCCTTTCTTCTCTTTCCATGGTTCATTTTGCATATCATAAATCCCTGCCTATTTTACATAAACTACACCATTCAGTAGTCCATTATTACATTCATCAAAACTTATTTACACTGTTGAATTTATCTTAATGCTGCCAACGTTTTCAAGTGTACACAATTTCCTCCCATATATTCTGTATGTTAAGTCTGCAAGCTGCAAATATTCCGTCAGCTTAAGTTGCCATTCTTCTTTAGTTGGGACCTTGCTCGTTCTCCATTTTAGGGCTACCACAAGTGATTTCCACTCCTCTGTCTTTTTTATCCATACTTCAAAGTTTTGGAGCATGCTGTCATCTCTGTCTGATGACACCCAGTTTCATTTTGCCTTTTCTTTAGCCTCGGGATAGCCTGAGGTTATGCAATTGTGTGGGTGAATGACCTGCCAGAGATCAGTCGTGAACTGAATAGAGAAGATTGCTACCATCCTGATAAGGCAAAGATGTTCATGACAAGTTAAAGCTCCAGTCAGATAGGCTGTTGCTATTTTGCAGGTAGGATTCAAGCACAAACAAATTCAGGTCGTGCAGTTGAAGTGGTTTTGGTGCTTTTGCGCAACAAACCCATTTTCAAAACAAATAGGCCTTTTTGGAAACGCAGTGGGAAGTGTGGAAGAACAACTGCCTGTTTCAACATCCTATAACATCCTTGGAAATAAATCAGAATGAAAGCCCAGTCAAGAGTCAGTATTGTACAACCTCCCTGAATACATTGCACAAACAAATCGAGACGAATGCTTAATAAATGCAAATTAACATTCAGAGGTTTGGCTGTTTTCTTGCATGCTCTGGTAACCTGATTGCTGCAATGCACCGAGAGGGAGGGCTGAATTTATGAAACTTCAGCTGGATGCAGCAACTTTCTGAAACTAAGCTCAGGATATAAACAACATGGATTCTTTATTATCTGTGCTGTTTCTGTTAAGTTGTGGGTGAACATATGAGACGACACAGCGATTCTTCAAACACCTCTTGTTTATTCACAGGCCAGGACAGAACTGAACTGAAGGGTTCAGTCAGCCTGCTTATATAGAGCTCCAGTACAACGTAACTGTAACAACTTTCTAAAACTATCCAATCACTGAACGTCACTTTCGGTCCCTTATTTGCATAACTATCTACAGTATCCCCCTGCTGGCCCAGGGTGAGAACTTCAGCACATAACAGTTTCCCAGTTTGTTTCTGAGTATAGAACACAAGTTCTAAAAAGAATAAACAACAACAACAACTTATTTATACCCCTCCCATCTGGCTGGGTTTCCCCAGCCATTTATGGCGGCTTCTAACAAAAGATTAAAAATACATTAAAACACCTGACATTAAAAACTGCCTTCAGTTGTCTTCTAAATGTCAGATAGTTGTTTATTTCTTTGACATCTGATGGGAGGGCATTCCACAGGGCGGGTGCCACTACCGAGAAGTCCCTCTGCCTGGCTCCTTGTAGCTTCACTTCTCGCAGCGAGGGAACCGCCAGAAGGCCCTTGGTGCTGGACCTCAGCATCCGGGCAGAATGATGGGGGTGGAGACGCTCCTTCAGGTATACTGAGACGAGGCCGTTTAGGGCTTTAAAGGTCAGCACCAACACTTGAATTGTGCTCAGAAACGTACTGGGAGTCTATAAAATCTACAAATTCTACAAACTTAAAAAGCAAAAACAAAACCCAATTTCAGCTGATATAAAGCTGATATTTCATAAATTTCTGTCTTACACCTTAAAGAAAGCCTTCCTAAGCAAAAAAAAAAAAAAAAAAAGCTGACTTGTGACATGCCTGAGCGACCATAAAAATATCATCCCCCCCCCATGACAAACAATTGGAGAATAACGATTAAAAGAAGCAAACAAAACAAACAAAAGCCTGTGAAAAAAAATTCAGGAATGCACAAGAAATCTACTCTGCCCTCACTTCTCCCCTGGTTTGGCTGTTCATACCAGCAGCTCCCTCCTGGTCCTTGTAGCATAGGATCGCTCTCTTCATGGAGTCAGTACCTTTGAACAAACCGGGACTTACTTCTGAGTAAAAATGCACAGAATCAGTTTGCAGGTAGTGACGGATCTATTCGGAATAAACTCTCGCTGCACAGGAATGACACAGACCTGCCTGGAAAGTCAACTGCTACCTCCCTCTTATGAGGAACGGCTTAGGGAGCTGGGCATGTTTAGCCTGGAGAAGAGGAGATTAAGGGGTGATATGATAGCCATGTTCAAATATATAAAAGGATGTCACATAGAGGAGGGAGAAAGGTTGTTTTCTGCTGCTCCAGAGAAGCGGACACGGAGCAATGGATCCAAACTACAAGAAAGAAGATTCCACCTAAACATTAGGAAGAACTTCCTGACAGTAAGAGCTGTTCGACAGTGGAATTTGCTGCCAAGGAGTGTGGTGGAGTCTCCTTCTTTGGAGGTCTTTAAGCAGAGGCTTGACAACCATATGTCAGGAGTGCTCTGATGGTGTTTCCTGCTTGGCAGGGGGTTGGACTCGATGGCCCTTGTGGTCTATTCCAACTCTATGATTCTATGATTCCCCACCAGCCACCCCAAATGCATAACTGGGGATATGAAAAAAAAGCACCTTACGTCTGGGTGAGCGACAATGGCCACACAAAACATTATAAAATAGCAGTCAGTCATGGAAAGGTTTGTTTCTGTAAAAGACACCCGAAAAGCTGCTGACCTGAGCTATTTGGAGGAAGGTGTTTTTTTAAAAAAAGAAAGATCTACACCAGTGTTTCCCAACCTTGGGCCTCCAGCTGTTTTTGGACTACAACTCCCATCATCCCTAGCTAGCAAGACCAGTGGTCAGGGATGATGGGAATTGTAGTTCAAAAACAGCTGGAGGCCCAAGGTTGGGAAACACTGATCTACACAGTACACATGTTTCGTTTCCTCTAATGAGGAACTAAAACACTGGATCTCCCTTCACATTGGCAGTGCTTTAATGGAGCAGAACAAACACTTTGTTTTACATGAACATGTTGTTCCAAATAGTGGTATTTGTGGGTGGCTGCATGCTGCACGAGAATCTTGGTTCAGATAAAGGGGAAGTGTTATAGAAAGCACAACAAATAATGGGGATATCCCTTCCTGCTTGCTTTTCTTTTGAGATCTTATGTATGTGTGGGCTTGGAAAGCAGAGTTGTCCCATCGTGGCAAGTTCAGGATCACTCCCGCTATTTGTATAGTGTAGGTTGTATAAAGGTAAAGGTACCCCTGACAGTCGGGACGCGGGTGCCGCTGTCAGTTAAACCACAGAGCCTAGGACTTGCCGATCAGAAGGGCGGCGGTTTTGAATCCCCACAACGGGATGAGTTCCCGTTGCTCGGTGCCAGCTCCTGCCAACCTAGCAGTTCGAGAGCACGTCAAAGTGCAAGTAGATAAATAGGTACCGCTCTGGCGGGAAGCTAAACGGCGTTTCCGTACGCTGCTCTGGTTCGCCAGAAGCGGCTTAGTCATACTGTCCACATGACCCGGAAGCCGTACACCGGCTCCCTCAGCCAATAAAGTGAGATGAGCGCCGCAACCCCAGAGTCGGTCACGACTGGACCTAATGGTCAGGGGTCCCTTTACCTTTACCCCTGACAGTTAGGGCCAGTCGCGGATGACTCTGGGGTTGTGCGCTCATCTTGCTCTATAGGCCGAGGGAGCCGGCGTTTGTCCGCAGACAGCTTCTGGGTCATGTGGCCAGCATGACTAAGCCCCTTCTGGCGAACCAGAGCAGCGCATGGAAACACTGTTTACCTTCCCACCGGAGCGGTACCTATTTATCTATTTGTACTTTGATGTGCTTTCTAACTGCTAGGTGGGCAGGAACAGGGACCGAACAACAGGAGCTCAACCCATCGCGGGGATTCGAACAGCCAACCTTCTGATCAGCAAGCTCTAGGCTCTGTGGTTTAGACGACAGCGCCACCCGCTGTCCCTGTAGGTTGTATACGGGGCAACAAAACCTTGGATTGCTCAATTTATTTTCTCTGGGCAATGATCACATCTCTAACAGTGAACAGAAAAACAAAACAAACAACAGATTCAGAATGAGCCACAAAGTCCCTTCAAAGCAAAGCAGGCAGTTCTTTCTCCACTCCAAGTCTAGAGAAAATAACATGCAGCAAGGAAGACCCAAACAGATGAAAAATGAAGCAGGTCCTCTACATTGATTGTCTAGAGAAGGGACTTCAAGGACATTACCATCCCTGAAATGTGTGCAAATCTAAATTTCTCCATAGAACTCATCAATCATACCTGCGACATTAATCGTTGGCTAAACACACTGAAAGGTGCTCATATTTCATAAAGCAATTACATCAAAAGGTGCCAACACATTTTGCTTCATAATTTTTGTTCTATAGGAGCTGGAAACTTACATTTTTAAAATAAAAAATGGAGTTCAAAGTCTGGCCCCTTGCTGCCTTTGGGCCCAGTATAGAATTACCCGTATTTTTCGCTCTATAAGATGCACCAGACCATAAGACGCACCTAGTTTTTGGAGGAGGAAAACAAGAAAAAAAAAATTCTGAATCTCAGAAGCCAGAACAACAAGAGGGATCACTGCGCAGTGAAAGCAGCAATCCCTCTTGCTGTTCTGGCTTCTGGGATATCTGCGCAGCCTGCATTCGCTCCATAAGATGCACACACATTTCCCCTTACTTTTTAGGAGGGAAAAAGTGAGTCTTATAGAGCAAAAAATACAGTACTTTCTGTAGCCCTTTCTTGTCTGCAAGCATGAACCCCACAGGGCAAGCTTGGGAGTACCACTGTTTCTCAGCCTGCCACACAGCCATGAGGATAACATGGGGAGGATCATGTACAGGATAGAAACATTTTCTTGCATACCATATTCCAGAAGGTTAGCATTTGCCGAATTGCAGCCCTTTTGCTTAACTTAGGTAAAGGAAATAATTAGGCACATGACTGCTGTAAAAGGGAGGGAGGAAGTGGTTATGTAACAGCAGTCAGTTTTTCCATTATGGATGTCTTGGTCTTCCTTTTCCTTTGATAAGAATTCAATTCACTTTGAAGAAAAGGGGGGGGGAGGAGAGAGTAACCAAGAATGTTCAAGATCTAAGTCATCATCAGAAGATAAACACACTCAAACATGAAATTGACTTACCCTTGTATGCTTTTGAGGCCATAAAATTGACCACAGAGGGCCATAAAAACATTTCACATCTATGTCACATCATACTGCATGTAATAGTGTCCTACAGTCAAGGTCTGATTGTTCTTTAGTGCCTCAATTCTCACCACCAACACAGACATAAGTTTCATTTTGTTAATTAATCTATTGATTAATTTGAAGGGTTTAATTAAAATAACATTGGGGCAGTTCAGTCTCATTACAGTGAAGGTGTGGAGTATGGGAGGAATGAAACACTGTGTCTACAAGACACCAACATGGTACAAACCCATTTAACAACACAATGGGTCACTTAAACTGATGGAGCAATTAAGATGCAGATGTGTTAAACCACTCAGTATTTTTTTTTAATTCATACCTCCAGAAAGCTTTTATTTGAAAGGAAAAGGACATGAGCAAGGTTTAAGTGGTGTCTGAAATTTAATAGGAATCAGTGTAGGGTGGTTTGTTACAGACACCAGAAACAACTCTGTATAGTATCATTTCATTTTTTAATCATCAATACATTTCAGTTTAAGGGACGCGGGTGGCGCTGTGGGTTAAACCACAGAGCCTAGGGCTTGTCGATCAGAAGGCTGGTGGTTCGAATCCCAGCGATGGGGTGAGCTCCCGTTGCTCGGTCCTTGCTCCTGCCAACCTAGCAGTTCGAAAGCACATCAAAGTGCAAGTAGATAAATAGGTACTGCTCTGGCGGGAAGTTAAACGGCATTTCTGTGCACTGCTCTGGTTCGCCAGAAGCGGCTTAGTCATGCTGGCCACATGACCCGGAAGCTGTACGCCGGCTCCCTCGGCCAATAAAGCGAGATGAGTGCCGCAACCCCAGAGTCGGCCACGACTGGACCTAATGGTCAGGGGTCCCTTTGCCTTTACTTTACTTTGCATTTCAATTTAGAGCACATTTGGACTACAGTGGTACCTCGGGTTAAGAATTTAATTCGTTCTGGAGGTCCATTCTTAACCTGAAACTGTTCTTAACCTGAGGTCGTGCGATTTCTGTTCTCATCCTGAAGCAAAGTTCTTAACCTGAGGTACTATTTCTGAGTTTGCGGAGTCTGTAACCTGAAGCGTCTGTAACCCGAGGTACCACTGTACTTGGTCGCTGTTATTATTATCTTAATCATCATTTTATTTTCTAATTTTATTAAATCATCATTATTATTTTGCTATCGTTCTGGTTTTATACTTAGATTTTACTATGAAACGGTACACCATGGAAGAGAAGTACAAAATCATGCGCTAAGGGACTGCTAGGGTATTCAACCGAGGATCTAGAAGGCAGAGAAAACCTTAAGAGTCATGCATTATGGTAAGCTGAGTCAGCACTTTAGTGCCATTGCAAAAGGCCATGAATAATACTCTGGGTGGCATGACTAGGGGAATTTCAAGAGACATAGGAAGTAATCCTACCAGTGACCTTAGCACTTACCAGATATTTGCATCTTAACTGTATTTCCTTCTGGTTACCACAATTCAAGAAACACCTAAACAAGCTGGTGGGGTATGGCGGCTATTGAGTGAAGAACAACAAGATTTAGGTCTCTAGGAAAGACCAAGGGTAGTTCTTTTAGTTTAGAAAAGTGTTGACTGAGGACAGATCTACACATCATTATTATTATTTTCAATTTTTTATTTCTATTTTTCAAATTTATACATTTTCATTAGTTTTACAATTAATTTAACATTTCAAAAATTGACTTCCTCCCCCCCTTTCTGCTGTTCCTTAAATTTATTTTTTAATTTCTTCTACATATCCAAATTGATTTAACTTACTCATTTGATTATCTACTCTAAATATCTACTCTTATAAAACTGCAGATTATTACAATAATCCTGCAAATATTTTAATCTGTTTCCAATTGATCTGCAAATATTCAATAAACCATTGCCATTCTTTTATAAGAAGTTTGTTATCTTGATTTCTTATTCTTCCGGTAAGTTTCGCCATTTCTGAATATTCCGTAAGTTTTTCTATCTATTCTTCCGCTACTGGGACTTCTGCTTCTTTATGTTTTAGGGCAAGTAACATTCTTGCTGCTGTAGTAGCCTACATGAATAAATTTCTATACAGTTTAGGTAGTTCTGTCCCTATAATTCCCCAAAAAAACCTACACATTATGATAAGCACACAATGGCCACTGAAAACGGCAGCCTGGTGCCAAGTTCTCCCTGTGCCATTTAATACATCTTATCCATATTCTGTCATAACAGATATCAGGGCATGGCTAAGCTTCATCACCCATTATCTATGGGGTGGGAGGACACTTGGCACAGAGTTCATCTGAATTACTGTTAACATGCGGTTAACAGCAGAGGGGATGCTTCACTCCAGCGAATGGGAAAAACTTTGGACGATGCATTGTGTCAGTCACAAAAAATTCACTTACTTGCGGACCCTTTCTGAGGTCCAGAGATGCCTGGGCTGCTTACTTTTGAGGCCCCTAGCTATAATAAAAATGTAAAAAGACAGCACACAAAAACTATAGTAAGGTAAAGGGGTAAAGGGACCATTGGATCCAGTCGTGGCCGACTTTGCTGCTCAGTTGTCGAACATTTCGGAAGTCGAACGGTCTTCCAGAATGGATTACGTTCGACAACTGAGCTATCACTGTATTCATTTAAAGGTAAAGGGACCCCTGACCATTAGGTCCAGTCGTGACCGACTCTGGGGTTGCGGCGCTCATCTCACTTTATTGGCCAAGGGAGCCAGCCTACAGCTTCCAGGTCATGTGGCCAGCATGACTAAGCTGCTTCTGACGAACCAGAGCAGCGCACGGAAACACCGTTTACCTTCCCGCCGGAGCGGTACCTATTTATCTACTTGCACTGGCATGCTTTCGAACTGCTAGGTTGGCCGGAGCAGCCCCAGAGTCGGCCACGACTGGACCTAATGGTCATGGGTCCCTTTACCTTTACCTATAAGGATGAAAGAGGGGCTGTCCCAAACTTGCTGCTCATTCGTCCAATGTTCAGTGATAACAGCATCAATTATAGTGATAAGTTTATCCCAAAATTTTCCTTGGTGACTGTGTGTGAAGACTTCTCCAATTGCATTATCGACCCTTGTGGTTGCAATGATAAATACACAGACCTCGCATAATTCCTTGGATATTCACACCCCTAAGTTGAAGCAAACGATTGCTCTGCAAATTTGCTGAATCCAACAACTGATCAAACCAAACATAAACCAAAGGAAAGATCTCATCACCCTCTTTGGAATGTTTTTGGTGGGGCCTTATCTTAACTCCCTGTTCTTGGCACAAAATACTTTCCTTGTACCAGGCGACCAAAGCACGGTCTGTATGTAACGCACTTGGTTGCATGAAAGGGTTGCTTAAGAACAATGTCAAATTCTATACAGAGGTTAACGGGCCCCAGGGCTGCCACCTTGTGGTATGGCTGACTAACAGCTTTGTGACAGACTGCAGTTTTTTAAAATGCACCCCTAAAATGTTTATAAAAATTATACCAAAACGTGTGTTTTCACAATGAACCTGTATCAAATTTTATTTTTGATTAATTAGGATCATGTAAACCAGACATTACCAGACTGAGGTATGTGGTGTATGATACACTGCCATGGACCCCTTAAAGGAGGAGGCAGTATAGAATGAAGATGGCGCTGTGGTCTAAACCACTGAGCCTCTTGGGCTTGATGATCGAAAGGTCAGCGGTTCGAATCCCCATGATGGGTTGAGCTCCCATTGATCTGTCTCATCTCCTGCCAACCTAGAATTTTGAAAGCACACCAGTGCAAGTAGATAAATAGGTAAATGGCATTTCCGTGTGCTCTGGTTTCCATCACGGTGTCCTGTTACGCCAGAAATGGTTTAGTCCTGCTGGCCACATGACCCAGAAAGATGTCTGTGGACAAACGCCTGCTCCCTCGGCCTGAAAGCGAGATGAGCGCTGCAACCCCATGGTCGCCTTGGACTGAACCGAACCAATCCAGGGGTCCTTTAGCTTTTACCTTTAGTATAGAAACACAATACAGGCGGCTCCCGGTTTAGACACGTCCGAATGACGCATGATTGGCCGACCGGGTGAACTAGCAGGATGGGGTGGCGGTGGATTGGTGGACCAAATGGGTGACAGCTGCTTGCAGCACTCCTCTGATTGGCCCAGCAGTGCATGTGGAGGGGAGCTCGTCCCGTTTTTTGAACGAAGAGTCCTTTTCTGGATCTAAACTGGGGACCCCTTGCCAATAATCTCTGAGCTTCTCTGTGATGCCAGGACTCCTACTGCTCTTGGTGCAGACTAGGTTCTGAGGCTGGGTGCTTGTGAGCAGTGTGTTAGGATTGGGCTAAGGAATGTCTCTTCACAAGTGTGACCCCCCTCCCCAATCCAGATTTTGCTATGAGCATAGTAGCCTGTACCTGAGAAGGGAAGCACACATCCGTGAAAATCCTAGTAAAATATTCTGAACACGGAGCTGAACTTGTTAAAAAAAACCAAAAACTTTTTGCTTCCATTCTGATATTCTCTTTCCAATAAACCGTTAAGATGCTGAAGAGTAAGGTAAAGGTAAAGGGACCCCTGACCATTAGGTCCAGTCGTGGCCGACTCTGGGGTTGCGGCGCTCATCTAGCTTTACTGGCCGAGGGAGCCGGCGTACAGCTTCCAGGTCATGTGGCCAGCATGACTAAGCCACTTCTGGCAAACCAGAGCAGCGCACGGAAATGCCATTTACCTTCCCGCCGGAGCAGTACCTATTTATCTACTTGCACTTTGACGTGCTTTTGAACTGCTAGGTTGGCAGGAGCAGGGACTGAGCAACGGGAGCTCACCCCGTCGCGAGGATTCGAACCACCGACCTTCTGATCAGCAAGTCCTAGGCTCTGTGGTTTAACCCACAGCACCACCTGCGTCCCTGCTGAAGAGTAATGCATATTATTAATGCCGATTGCATTTTTGCCAATAAGTAGGGGATCTTCAACTTGAACTTTTATATTTTGAACTGATGCTCACATTTTCAGTCCTAGACTGGATGTATTTCAAATGCTATTTAAAACAGATCACAGTCTCACTTTTTAAAACAAAAAAGCCCACAACTTTAGTTGACTTTGGATTGTATCCTTGTTTCTGGGGAAACTAAAGGAAATGCCTAAGGAGAAACAACAAAAATATCCCTTCTTTTTGCAATAGGATTTTCTCGCTATGTGAAGTCATAGGTGAGTTTTCTTTTCATTTCAGTGACTCACTACAAAAAGGGATAGTAGTGGATAAAGCATTACACATAATTCATACCGCAGGAGGAGAGGTATACATAACGTTTTGAAGGAAGTGCTATCATCATTCGTTCATTTCCCTTCTCGGGAAACCACCCAAATGATTTTGTTTTAGTAACACACTTAGTTGTAATACGATTTTAGATGTAATCTAGATCCCACTGAGGTCAAGAGGGAGGCACCCACCGTGATGTTCATGGTTGTGTCACGTAGTTGCTAACGGACAGAGGCGGCCATTTTGTGCACTAGTACCCAGGAATAAGTCCTACTGGATTTATTGAGACTTTTAAAAGCATTTCAAGCTTTTCCAGGAGATGTTTTTCGTGCTTTTGCTGATAGTCTTTTTTATTTTTCTATAACGCCACTTCACATCTAGAAATTATGAACCTCCCTTCTCTGTTGCTATGTATAGATTTTGCCCAGACTGCAAAAGGGGGTCAGGAGAGAGAATAAAAGTAAAGACCGCTCTATGTGCTTGCTCATCTATACCACCATTGCTCCTGGCAAAACAGCTTTTGCAGGTGTTTGTGTGGCTTAAGCGACTTCCAAATATAGATGGTGTTGGGGGGGGTTGGAGGGGGGAAGCTAAGACTAACGACAAAGTGTGTTCTCCTTCATGGAGAGCATGTGTTGCAGTGGGGGCCGACAGGACACTCCAAAGTTGTGGGGCGGGCTAATTGATTGTTGGCCACTGTTGTGATTGGGCTTCCCTTGTTGCTGGGAAGAAGTTAATGTTGCCATTTGTTGATTGACAGCCAGAAATGCTAAAACTCCCTGCACGAGGCGTAGAGCTTCCTCTTTTCGCCCGTGCATAGGATTGCCCGTCCCCGTCCCCCCTATATTTAGGGTTGTTCGCTTTGACCTTGCTATGCCTGTCATGGGGTCGTCTGCTTTGGGGCAGGGGCCCGGTAGGAATTTTGTCCATCTGGCTGATTGGCTGGGGCCATTTGGTTTTTGCCTACTGCGTAGCAAATCGTCACAACTTGTAAGGTTGCGGTTAGGCATTGGTTTATGGTTTGGTTGGTTGAGGGGCATGGATTGGCTGTGCCTGCCCCTCTAATGCTGCTGCTGCAAGGGATTCCGTTAAAGGAATACAGGGGCTCACCATTGCTTTCGTCCAAACCCTGTCAAGGGGCTAGAGCCACGCAAGTGCCCCTGGTTGCATTTGGGGAGGGCTGAGGGCAGGTTCCCTGCTCCGTCGCTATCCCCAAAATGTATTCCCCTTTTCTGACTTTCGCAGGCTTGCGGAATGTCAGTCTGTCCCCCACTGGGGGGGCAGATAGTCGCAACCAATGCCTAAGCAACCACTCACATTTTTTGTATTTTAATAAAGTTGTGGCCAAAATTATGCCAAAAACCTTAAACAAAATTTCTGTGTGATGTGTGAGTTATTTGGAGTGGCCCTGGGGACCTTGATGCGCAAAAAGTAAAACTGGATAAAAGCTATTGCTTTTCTTCAGTCTGTGTCATAGACATGACTGCACACAAGCAAGAGGAGCAGTCTGAGTGGGGGCACAGTTAGGCAGAAGGGCAAGAGGGAGGCTTGCCTTTTTCTCAGACAGCTGAAAGCCATGGGCTGCAGCCAGGGGTGTAGTGTTACCGGAAAAATCCGAGGGCTCCCTTGGACAAAAACAAAGACACCAACCAGGATAACTTGGAGCAAAACAGCAGCCTGTAGGCTTGGCCTTTATTGAACTGTTGCAACAGGGTGCTCCCCTCACTTGCAGGAGAGAGAAAGGACACAGAAAAAATGGCGTGCAAGGTCTTATAAAGACTTTTGAAATTCCCATCCTGTAGATCAAGACCACCCCCAGAAACATCATACATACATCACAGAAAGGAGGGGTTGAGGGAGGAGTTGTGGTGGTAACCTGAGTGTCCTGTCACCTGGCTGGTTCCCCCTTTTCCCCTCCCCATGAGTACTTTCCAGGTGACAGAGGGGAGTTTGCAGTTTCCTGCCCCCAGAGGGAAGAGCTGATTATTGTCCTTTGTTCCAGTCTGTGCTGAATCCACTCCCATATGCAAGTTCTTTGTGATCTTGATGGTCTTCTGTCTAGGACCATCAGGGTTGGCATAGCAACTGGGCAGGGCTCCTGTGGATGTGCTGGTATGCTGAAGGGATTATGGCTGCCCTGTATCAAACCTTCCCCATTTTGTAGTCCTTCCTTCATGGAGTAAAATAAAAGTGGAACAGTGCAAATCCGATGTATGGTTGATTTTCCATGAATTTATAACAGAAGCGTAGCGTATGTAGTGTGTGAGTGTGTGTGAAGTTTGTACAAACTGAATGATTGGGGGGGGGGGTTCCTGCTACAGTAGGAAGGGGGGTGCGGTGGTATAAAATTTTATTCTTCAAAATCAGAGACAACAAATTCCGTAGCATCATTTGCGTTTTCTGCTAGCTGGAATATGTCTGAGAATCAACAGCTTAAAATATAAAGAGTGTGGAAAAGCTTTCAGTGATGCAGTTAAGTCTTCTTGCTTTGGTTGCATGTTAGATCTTAAAAGGCATTTTTTAAAAAAATGCCAGTGGTTTTGTTTATGAAAAATAATAACAAACATCTTTGCTTTTCAGCTTAAAACTGAATCTATTCCAAGGCTTTATTTCAAAGAGATCCAAGATTCCGGAACAGGAGGTCATGCAGGTTCAGTTCTTTGTATACAGTATGCCCAGCAAAACATGTTGAATCTTTTGAGAATATTCTGAGGTTTAGTATTTCATTTCCTGGGCGGAATACAAGAAAAGCAGTCTGCTAGATTACTTTCACAAAGCTGATATTGGCTGGCAAAAGGAAAGCTAATTTTAAAGCAGATAGTGGTGAAAATAACAAATCTGTGCAACTGCCTCAGAAATTGCCTAAATGAAATTTTATTCTGTTTTAACCAGCTCTCCCCCCCTTGTCTCCACACCCATCGTTCTTGTTTTTGTATACATTCTTCTTTCGCTGGGACTACTTCTTCTTCTTCTTCTTCTTCTTCTTCTTCTTCTTCTTCTTCTTCTTCTTCTTCTTCTTTCCATTTTTGGGCAAGAAACATTCTTGCTGCTGTTGATGCACCTAGACGGTTGGGGGAAACCGCCAGGGGTAAAAAAATGACCAAAGACGTGGAATATATATGAAATTAGATAATATTAATGAAAGAATCAATGTTTAAATGTTCAAAAACGATAATATGTTTGCTTATAGAGTAAATGGATAATAAGTGATTTAAACATAAAATGCAATTGAAAGTACAAAAGAAACACAGGAAACAAGGTTATAATTTGCTGATAAATTTATTATCAAGATTGCACTGTGCGGGAGATGTGGGGAAGTTCGATAGAAAATTGAAATAAGCTTTTGAAATAATTTGTTTTTCTTTTTTTCTTTTCTTTTCTTTTTTTCTTGGTTTTTTCTGTACTGTATATCTTTATCTGGAAAAAATGTAATAAATTTTTTTTAAAAAAATGACCAAAGACTAGCATATTTGCAAAAAAAAAAACTTTATTAGAATAAAAAAATTAATTGGGGAAGGGGGGAACTGGGCCTTGGTTGAGAGAGCTGCTGGCCTCACTGTTGCCGCTGCCTGGAAGAGAAAAGAACAGAAAAGATTCTTAATATTTCCATTGATTATTACTGCAAGGATCTCCCAGTGGCCCACATTATTCTCCCTTCCTCATCCAAACCCTAAACTCTTCTTAAATCAGGGAGCTGCCTCCCGCCCCCCGCCCCCCACCCCCAGCCAGATTCTCTCTGGCCTCCCTGTTCTTCATGGACAAAGATCAGCACTCACCACTGGTGGAATCACTGGTGGCATCCATCCCCTGGTCCTTAGGCCTCACATAAATCGTATGTACTCTGATCTTTTTTCCATTAATCTTCACGGTGTCTTCGTCCAGGGGATGGATTTTTATGGAGCGGCAACAGGAAGGCCAGCAGCTCTCTCAACCTGCGGAGTCCGGAGCATCTAGGAAAGGAAAGAAAGAAGGTCATGACACGGATTATTTCCTCACTACTCTCTATCCTTGCACTGCCAGCTATTTCCCTGAAAGCATCTAAGGGGGCCCTGAGGACAATCTTTAAAAATTAATCTAACCATGACCTGGTTCCCTATGTGTCTAAATCTTAAGGGATAACTAAAGAAATAGGGGAAAGAATAAGAGATTCTACTTACAAGCGAGACGACTCAACCTTCATTTTGTCGACAACCAAAAGCACTCTCTCTAAATACAATCATTAAATTCAAATAGTTGCTCTGCCCAAAGTTCTCAGCCAAGTCACTCAGCAGGGGGACATGTCACAATGGAGGACATGACATCATCACTCTAGCTACCTCGCCTAACAATGGGCACCACTCCTCTTAATATTATTTTTCAAATGTATCTTTCAGTGGGTTAAGTGGTTTTATTTAATTAATTTAGAATATGGTTACCAGATTTCTTTTCAATGAATCCGGGGACACTTTTTATTTTTTTTAGCTGAGTAGCAACAGGGAGCCTGTAGTGGGGATAGTGAGGCAAAAGACCCTGGGCCCAAGCACATACAGTGGTACCTCGCAAGACGAACGCCTCGCAAGACGGAAAACCCGCTAGACGAAAGGGTTTTCCATTTTGGAGGCGCTTCGCAAAACGAATTTCCCTATGGGCTTCCTTCGCAAGACGAAAGCCCATAGGGAAATCTGGACAGCGGGGAAGCGCAACGCGTCTTCCCCACTGTCCTCGGACCTCCTCCAAAGGCTGGCGGTGGGGCGGAGAGACCTAAAGCAGCCCCCCGCGACCCTCTCCCAGGTGACGCGCACCTATGGCAGGAGCCTCCATAGGCGCGCGTCACCTCTCCAGCCGGGAGAGGGTCGCGGGGGGCTGCTTTAGCCCTGCGCGCGCTCTCCCGGCTAGAGAGGTGACACTCGGCTATGGAGGCTCCTGCCATAGGCGCACGTCACCTCTCCAGCCGGGAGAGGGTCGCGGGGGGCTGCTTAAGCACCGCGCACGCTCTCCCGGCTGGAGAGGTGACGCTCGGCTATGGAGGCTCCTGCCATAGGCGCGCGTCACCTCTCCAGCCGGGAGAGCGCGGGGGGCTAAAGCAGCCCCCCGCGACCCTCTCCCAGCTGGAGAAGTGACGCTTGACTATGGCAGCAGCCTCTGAAGGCTGCTCCGAAGCCTGGCGGGGGGGCGGAGAGACCTTCTCCCCGCGCCAGCCTTCGGATGCCTGTCCTGAAGACTTGGGGTGGGAGAAGGGTTTTCCTTCCCACCGCCAATATTCAGAATGCTGTTCTGAATGTTGGCAGTGGGGAGGAAAAACCCTCCTCCCACCTCAAGCCCCGGGAACAGAGGAAAAGCGCCGCGCGCCTTCCCCTCTGTTCCCGTACCTGTCCTGAAGGCTTGCAGTGGGGAGAAAAGCCCTTCTCCGCACCGCCAGCCTGGCAAGCGGTTTCCATAGGAACACATTAATTGATTTTCAATGCATTCCTATGGGAAACCATGCTTCGCAAGACGAAAAACTCGCAAGAAGAAAAAACTTGCGGAACGAATTAATTTCGTCTTGCGAAGCACCACTGTATGCTTATTGTATAAAGGTGCAAAGTTCTTCTTTTGCACCCTGTGAAACATAAATGCACAGAGTTTTTTAAAAAACTGGGCAACGCCCACCCGCCCACAACTCCCAAGACATCCCCGATCAGTCAAAACAAAGGGGGAAGGGGGCAGGAGATCTGTACCACCAGACGTCCCCGGTTCCCCTTCAGAAGTGGCAGCAGCAGCGTCAGTCAGCAGCCCGGAGCCAGCCTGGTAGCGCAGTTGGCTCTGGATGGCTTCAGGAGCAGCTTGCTTCAGTGGCACCCGCCAGTTTGCTTCCCGGAAATCCCCATATGATGTGTCTTGTGCACAACACATCATATGGGGACTTCTGGCAAGGAAAAATGACAGGGCACCATGGCAGCGAGCAGCAAGCAGCTCCTGAAGCCAGACAGAGCCAGCTGTGCTACCAGGTTAGCTCTAGGCTGCTGAGGCTGCCGCTGCCACATTTCCTGGGGACAAATTTGCAAATCCGGGGACTGTCCATGGGAACCGGGGACGTCTAGTAACCCTAATTTAGAAAAGATCCACAGCTGGCTTCATGCAGCACAGCGCATTTCTGGACAGGACAGGAAACACCTTGCAAACACACACACTTTTGAACATGGCGGGGTCACCAAGGGACAACACTTCTGGCCTTGACTATGGCTGCTGTTTCTCAATAGTTAAAAATAACCCCTCTCAACACCCTGTAGTAATCTGTCCAGGATTATGATGAACAGGAGCAGGACTTCACCCTTAGACCTCCTCATCCTCCTGTTTCTTTCAGTTTCTGCCCAGTGTGTTCGGCCAATAAACAGCTTTCCTAAGGTTGCAAAGAAGTGAAATGTTATGAGTTTGTGGGTGACAGACTCCCCTTTGCCATGAGTTTCTGGGTGCCAGGCACTGAAGCCCTGGCAGTGACGTAGCGTGGGTTGTCAGCACCCGGGGCAAGGCAAGTAATTTGCGCCCCCTAACCCATGGATTTGCGCCCCCTAACCCTAACCCCCAGATGTTGCGCCCGGTGCGGCCGAGCCCCCCTGCACCCCCCACGCTACGCCACTGAGCCCTGGACACTGAACATCTGGGGAGTTGATCTAAGCCTTGTTTCAATGCACCCCAAGCTCTACATTTGATTGGTGGATGGATGGCTGTCATTAATTCAGATCCATTCCATAGAATCATAGAATCTTACGAGTTGGAAGGGACCCAGGGGTCATCTAGTCCAACCCCTGCGATGCAGGAATCTCAGCAAAAGCATCCATGGCAGATGGCCATCTAGTCTTTGTTTAAAAACTTTCAAGGAATCCACCACCTTCCAAGGGAGTCTGTTTGTTTTTATGAATGTTTAATCAGAATCTCCTTTCTTGTAACCTGAAGCCATGGGTTCGAGTCCTACCCTCCAGAGCAGGAGAAAACAAGCATCCTCCCTCTTCCGTGTGACAGCCCTTAAGATATTTGAAGATCTCCTCTCAGTCTCCCCTTTCCAGGCTAAACATACCCAATTCCTTCAACATCCTGCTTAAATTGTGGCTCCCAGAATTGGACACAGTATTCCAGGTGTGGTCTGACCAAGGCAGAATAGTGCAGTACTATTACTTCCCATGATCTGCACAATTTATATCTGAATTGTTTCACAGTCATCTCGTCTGTGCTGCCCCAGCATGGAAACTTTAGGTGCTGCAATTTACTATGCTTGTCGGCCTGGGTATGGTGTGCCCCTTTAAAGAATTTTCCTCCCACCTGGGAGGTTTCCGTTGTCTTGGTTCTAAGAATGTACACACTCAGATGGCCACAGTTTCTGTTTTATATTCAGTAGGGGTGGTGTCGCAAGGCACCCCACCTGCGATGGCGGTATCAGGGTCACCTTGAAAGGGTGTCCCGAGGGGAGTCTCCGACCGCAAGCGCACAGTCTGAAATTTTAATAAAGTTGTGGCCAATTTTCATCCCAAAATACGTCATCAGGTGTTTTTCTTTGTTGTGAGGTCTGACTCCCTTGCAGGGGGTGGGGGGGTACTGAGCTTTATTTCAAAGAGATCCAAGATCCCAGAACAGGAGGTCATGCAAGTTTGGTTCTTTGTATACAGTATGCCCAGCAAAACATGTTGAATCTTTTGAGAATGTTCTGAGGTTTAGTATTTCATTTCCTGGGCGGAATACAAGAAAAGCAGTTTGCTAGATTACTTTCAATTGCACTCATTTTACACGCTAGCAAGGTTATGTCAAATTCTACAAGGAAGGCTCAAGCAGTATGTGGATCAAGAACTCCCAGAAGTGCAAGCTGGATTTAGAAGAGGCAGAGGAACCAGAGACCAAATTGCAAACATGCGCTGGATTATGGAGAAAGCTAGAGAGTTCCAGAAAGACATCTACTTCTGCTTCATTGACTATGCAAAAGCCTTTGACTGTGTCGACCACAGCAAACTATGGCAAGTTCTTAAAGAAATGGGAGTGCCTGATCACCTCATCTGTCTCCTGAGAAATCTCTATGTGGGACAAGAAGCTACAGTTAGAACTGGATATGGAACAACTGATTGGTTCAAAATTGGAAAAGGAGTACTACAAGGCTGTATTTTGTCTCCTGCTTATATAATTTATATGCAGAATTCATCATGCGAAAGGCTGGGCTGGATGAATCCCAAACTGGAATTAAGATTGCCGGAAGAAATATCAACAACCTCAGATATGCAGATGACACAACCTTGATGGCAGAAAGTGAGGAGGAATTAAACAACCTTTTAATGAGGGTGAAAGAGGAGAGCGCAAAATATGGTCTGAAGCTCAACATCAAAAAAAAGAAGATCATGGCCACTGGTCCCATCACCTCCTGGCAAATAGAAGGGGAAGAAATGGAGGCAGTGAGAGATTTTACTTTCTTGGGCTCCATTATCACTGCAGATGGTGACAGCAGCCACGTAATTAAAAGACGCCTGCTTCTTGGGAGAAGGGCAATGACAGGCCTAGACAGCATCTTGAGAAGTAGAGACGTCACCTTGCCAACAAAGGTCCGTCTAGTTAAAGCCATGGTTTTCCCAGTAGTGATGTATGGAAGTGAGAGCTGGACCATAAAGAAGGCTGATCGCCGAAGAATTGATGCTTTTGAATTATGGTGCTGGAGGAGACTCTTGAGAGTCCCATGGACTGCAAGAAGATCAAACCAATCCATTCTTAAGGAAATCAGGCATGAGTGCTCACCAGAAGGACAGATCGTGAAGCTGAGGCTCCAATACTTTGGCCACCTCATGAGAAGAGAAGCCTCCCTGGAAAAGACCCTGATGCTGGGAAAGATGGAGGGCACAAGGAGAAGGGGGCGACTGAGGACGAGATGGTTGGATAGTGTTTTCGAGGTTACCAGCATGAGTTTGACCAAACTGCGGGAGGTAGTGGAGGACAGAGGTGCCTGGCGTGCTCTGGTCCATGGGGTCACAAGGAGTCGGACACGACTAAACGACTAAACAACAACAACAGATTACTTTCACGAAGCTGATATTGGCTGGCAAAAGGAAAGCTAATTTTAAAGCAGATACAGCGGTACCTTGGGTTAAGTATTTAATTCGTTCCGGAGGTCCGATCTTAACCTGAAACTGTTCTTAACCTGAAGCACCACTTTAGCTAACAGGACCTCCCACTGCCGCCGCGCCGCCGGAGCATGATTTCTGTTCTCTTCCTGAAGCAAAGTTCTTAACCTGAGGTACTATTTCTGGGTTAGTGGAGTCTGTAACCTGAAGTGTATGTAACCCAAGGTACCACTGTAATGGTGAAAATAACAAATCTGTGCAACTGCCTCTCAGAAATTGCCTAAATCTATCTTATTCTGTTTTAACCAGCTCTCCCCCCCTTCCTCTCTGCGTCTCCACCCCCATCGTTCTTCCCGGACAATATGTTCCAGCGCCGAGGGCCTTCTATCGGTTCCCTCACTGCGAGAAGCGATGTTACAGGGAACCAGGCAGAGGGCCTTCTCAGTAGTGGTGCCCGCCCTGTGGAACGCCTTCCCACCATATGTCAAAGAAATAAAGAACTGTCTGACTTTTAGAAGACACCTGAAGGCAGCCCTGTTTAGGGAAGCTTTTAATATTTGATGAATTATTGTATTTAAAAATCTTGCTGGAAGCTGCACAGAGTGGCTGGGGAGCCCTGGCCACATGGGCAGCGTATAAATAAATTATTTATTATTTTTATTTTTATTTTTATTTTTATTTTTATTTTTATTTTTATTTTTTATTTTTTTATTATTATTATTATTATTATTATTATTATTATTATTATTATTATTATTATTATTATTATTATTATAGCAGCCACAAAGGAAGTAGCCAAACTGTAGACTCCTGCAGTGAGTCTGCATGGGATTTCCACCCATGCTCACACCTGTTGGAAAAAAGCAACCCCAAAAACTAGCATGTTTGTAAAGGAATAACACAAAAATTATCTGTTTATTTATCTTCTTTAAAAAAATATGTTTTTATTAAGTTTGCATAACAAATTTAAATTCAAACACATCATTCACCCCTTCATTTAGGATTCTCTGAATCCTTTGACTTCCCTCCCCCCTTCCATGGTTACCATTGGCAGTCTCTCTCTCTTTTTCATCTGCTTATCGTATTTTCTCTAATTTGCTAATAGAATAGCAATCCATTTTTCCATAGTTTTTGTAAAATGCAAGCATTACTCAAATCCTGCCAAAGTTTTTGGTTGTTTAGAACAGTGTTCTCTCAAAGGCAGTATAAATTTCCCCCATTCTTTCTTAAAAATTTTCTCTTCCTGGTTTATGATTTTCCCGGTCAGTTTTGCCATTTTGGCATAGTTCATCAACTTCATCAGCCATTCCTTTTTTTAAAAAAATGATATTTATTGAAAAAAGGGTTTTTTTAAAAAAAATTACACACAAGAAAAAGAAAAAGAGGAAAAAATAAAACAATCATTCTCAAATTTTCCACTTTCAATACCTTCTTTCCTTGACCTCCTCCTCCTCCCTTTTCCTGTATCCTATTTTATAACAATCACAGCAAATCCTTTCCATAATTCATAATATTCTGTCATCACATTACCTTAATCTATTTTCATCTTATCTTATAAAAAAACCTTAGACTTTAAAACTTAAGTCTTATTTTTTTATCAGCTTCTCCTAAACCATAACATTCTTACCTAATTCTTTTAACATTTTTATAAGAGCCAAATAATTTCATTTCAACATTTTGCAAACGTTCCTCAATTTTGTAAAACAGTCCTAATGATAAAAAAAAAGAAACAATCCAGTCTTCATCCAACGTCCCTTTCTCCTGGTCCCGGGTTTGTCAGTCCTTTTTATCCTGTTAACCTAGCACATTAACCTGGCAATCTTATATCCGAGGCCCTTAGGTCACTTCCATGTCCCTTCCGTGACTCTTCATTATATTTCCCTTTTATTCGTGGGAACTCCAGCTTGGTAGTGTTTTTGACCTTTTTCAACAAAACAGTCCCTTTTCCATAGTCCAGTCTAGGCTCGATGTAATATTTAGAAGCATATTCCAGATTCCCTTCAAATTTAAGAGCCCCCACAAGTCCAGACATCTGACGGCCCCTTTCCAGACTTGAAAAGTCCAAATCTCCCTGTGGGGGGGGGGTCAATCCAACCCCCCATTTCCAAGCCGAACCAGATTTTATCTTTCCAAGTCTGGTTTTTTCCAAGTTCATTTATCAAGTCCAAAAGTTTGTGATCCTGCTGGGCCGCAGCTCTCTCCGTCTCTGGTGCCCGAGATTCAACAAAATCCTCTTCTCTCGGTTGTTCTGTCATGGCACGCTCCTGTTTCGATTCCTGAGTGGGCTCCATATAGTTTCCCACTACCTGCTCAAAGGTTCTGGCCGCATTAGCCATGAAATCCATCTTCTGGCTTAGCTGATCCAATAGGGCATTTATTTTACAGAAAGCACCCAACAGTGCTCCTGAAGACATTGTTCTACAAGGTCACAAGGTCCTTTCCCACAGTTGTAATCAGTGACAGCTGCAAGTTCCCAGGAATTCCCAGGGATTAGTTACAATTTCACAATTCCCCTCTAGGGGGAAAAGCTTCTAATTGTTCTTTCTCTTGAAAACAATAGCAACAAAGTTTCTTTTTGCAATACTTTGTCCATATTTGTTCTTTTAAAAGACGAAAGGAAACAATGGAGTAACTATGTTTCTCTTCTTTTAACTATCTGTCAAAAGCATTTGTTTCTGGTCAATGAGCTTCAAATGTCAATTCTGACACCCTGCTCCAGGGTCGGGACGGTGGAAAATTACTTTACTTTAAATTTACTTCTGCAGGTTTAAACAGCTCAGAAAGAGTCCCCCTTCTTCTCCTGCTACTGAAGGGGGGGTTCAGCAATTTTAAATGGTGAAAGTTGATCCTTTAAAAGTTGTTTTTAAGGCTCTAGTTTGCGTTGTCTTTGCTTTGTTCTGGCTACAGGGAAACGGAAGGGTGACTTCCTGTATAATCCTTTCCGTTTCAGTACCAAATTAGGATAAACTTTTAAGTCCAAATTCCTTTTAACTTCGCCAGTTCTTTGTTTAAAGTCCAAATATTCAATGTTCCAGTACTCACGGTTGGTTATTTTAAATGCCAAATTGTCCCAGGAAAAAGGCAGCGCTCTCCGGCAACGGCTATGCGGCTTCGCTCCGCAGAAAAAGCAGTTGACTCACAGCACCGCGCCGCTTCCCCCTCTTCACTTCGGAGCCCGTTTGTGGGTTCCTTTGCGGGTTGGGGGGGCGCTAAGGGTGCCCGCCGAGTCCCACAGTCACAGGCTTCATCCGCCTGTGATTTCCAGAAGGGTCCCCGCTACGCCGCAGCGGAAAAGACCCGTTTCATGCGGAGCTGGTCCCTCCAGTTCAGAGGGAGTCCGCCATTGCCGGTGGCGCCACCCCGGAAGTCCCATCAGCCATTCCTCTCTGGGTGGAACTTTATCTTTTTTCCATCTCTGGGCCAGTAGTATCCTTAGTGCTGTCATCATGTACATGAATAGTCGTTTCTGCTCCCTCAGAATCTCTATACCTAAAATGCCTAACAAAAAAAGCCTCTGTTTTCCCCCAGGAATGTTATTTTAAACATTTTTTCAACTCATTGTAAATCATTTCCCAGAATGTTTTAATTATCTTTCAGGTCCACCACATGTGGTAGAACATGCCTTCCTTCTCCTTACATTTCCAGCAAACATTTGAATCAGTTCTATACATTTTTGCTAGTTTTACAGGTGTAGATTACCACCGATGCATCATTTTCATATAATTTTCCTTCAATGCACAGCACACTGTAATTTTTAAGTCTTCCCTCCATAACTTTTCCCAAGATGAAAATTGAATATTATGCCCAACGTCTTGTGCCCATTTTATCATTACTGATTTGACTTCTTCATCCTTAGTTTGCCACTCTAGCAATTTATACATTTTAGAAAGTAACTTCACATTATTTTCCTATAATTCCGTTTGAAACCTTGAGATTTCTGTACTAAATCCATTTTTCTTATCTATATTTAAACGCATCATTTACTTGAAGGTATTGCAACCAGTCTGTAACTAACTGTCTTATATCTTCAATTGTTGTTCTACTTCTATGAGCGACTTTTTGTAGCCTCTTTAAAAAGTCTGTTGCTTTGTGACGAGAGACCACACTAGACAACATGGTGTTTTGGAAAGATAAACTATTTATTTATTTATATATATATTTGAGTTTTGGGGGAGGGGGGAACTGGGTCTTGGAGGGGGGAGAGAGCTGTGCTGGAGTTGCTAGTCTCACTGCTGTCACTGCCTGGAAGAGAAAAGAAGAGAAAAGATTCTTAATTTTTTCATCATTGATAACCAATCTTTCCTGGAAGGATCTCCAGGTGGCTTATGTTATTTTACCTTCCTCCCATCCTCGTCCTATCCCTGAACTCTTCTTAAATCAGGGAGCTGCCTCCCTCCGCCCCAGCAAGCCAGATTCTCTCTGGCCTCTCTGTTCTTCATGAGCAAAGCTCAACACTCACCACTGGTGGAAGAACTGGTGGCATCCACCCCCTGGTCTCTCGGTCTCACATAAATCGTTCTTACTTTAATCTTTCTTCCATCAACCATCACACTTTCTTCCTCCAAACAGACATGGGGATAGATTTTCATGGAACGGCAACAGGAGGCCAGCAGCTCTCGAATCTAGGAAAGAAGAGGGGAAATAGTCAGGAAATGGGTTCTAGATACTTTCTTGATACTCTATGTCTCTGTGCTAAATTTGGGGAACCAGTCAGCTGAACCTACTTTCAGAAACCTCTCATGGAGAGTGCAGCAAACAGTTGAACCCACAGAGGAGGGCATTTTGTCAAAGGACCCTCCAAAACTGGGAGATCTCCACAAGGGAGAAGGCAAGCAATTTCCCTCAAAGCAGCTAAGGGGGCCCTGAGGACAATCTTTAAAAATTAATCTAATCACGACCTGGTTCCCTTTGTGTCTAAACCTTAAGGGATAGCAAAAGAAGCAGACTGCAGAAAGAAGAAGAGATATACTTACAGGCAAGATGAAGAAATTTTCATTTTTCGTAAAACACGATTTACACCAACGATCTCTTTTCTTTGAACTATAGATAAATAGTTGCTCAGCCAAGTGACTCAGCAGGGGGACGTGTCGAAAGATCCACAGTCACCATCCATATCGGCAGTGGTGGCCTCCATCCCCTGGTCGCTTGGTTGAACATATAGTGATCTCATCTTCACTAATGTGTCGTCCTTATTCTTAATGACCATCACTCCATCCTCTGATTTCTTCCTCACAGACCCCATGGGTCTCTAACACCAAATCCCACTCCAACTGCCTCCCTTGGAACTCTGGCCAGTCAGGAGCTGTTGTCAGTTAACGGTTTTCTGGTAGGAGGAAAAACACTCAGTGACTCAACCTGCTCACTAAACAAACTTTTCTGTCGCATATCCCACCCCCGAAAATCATTGCGTAGGCGAGGTTGCATATACCAGCCTCGATGCAGCAATTGTAAAAAGTATTTTGGGGTTCCTGCTTAAAATACGCAAATATACGTGTATCGTACACACAATACCTTATATACTTTATAATACTATTAAGCTATAAACACTATAAAGTTCTAAACATAACTATATAGCATAACACTTAACTCTATATTCTTTTACATCCATAGATAGGCATTGCGCTTTTAAAAAATATAGGATCCAAATACATTATAACCACTTTTAAATCTGCATTTTAACTAATTGCATTTCAAACAGACACCACACTGATCCATTATCAGACGTTACTCTACATTAGCAATTTCTGCCAGCGTCTTCCACCAAGAAACAAACAGCTTTCCTTAGGCTGCAAGGAAGTGAAATGTTATGAGTTTCTGGGTGCCAGGCATTGAACCCCTGGATTCAGCAAATGTTAAAAGATACGCCAGGCAATTTTTATTGTGAGAAAATCACCTGAAGTGATGAGCTATTAGGAAAGGCAAGAAGAGGAGGCTCTGTGCCCCTTCCTCAACTCATAGTTAGAAGACAAAGGCAGTTAGGGTTTGCCGTGGGGTGACCTAAAGGAAAAATAGGTTGCAGGCTGTTAAAGGCAAGAAAGATGGAGAGAGGGTCAGAAGATGATGGTAGATTTCCGTCTGAATCCACTGCTATGGCTATGGGAGAAGCAAGACCCTCTTTGAGTGTATTTATTTATTTATTCATTCTCCAGCCATTCTGGGCAGCTCCCAACAGACTATTAAAAACACAATAAAACATCAAACAGTAAACACTTCCCTAAACAGGGCTGCCATCAGATATCTTCTAAAAGTCACATAGTCGTTTATTTCCTTGACATTGGATGGGAGAGTGTTTCACAGGGTGGGCGCCACTACCGAGAAGACCCTCTGCCTGGTTCCCTGTAACCTCACTTCTCGCAGTGAGGGAACCAGCAGAAGACCCTCGGCACTGGACCTCAGTGTCCAGGCTGAACAATGGGGGTGGAGACGCTCCTTCAGCTATACTGGGCTGAGGCTGTTTATGGCTTCAAAGGTCAGCACCAACACTTTGAATTGTGCTCAGAAACAACCTGTGAGCCAATGTTGGTCTTTCAGGACCGGTGTTATGTGGTCCTGGCGGCCGCTCCCAGTCACCAGTCTAGCTGTTGTAGTTTCCGGGTTACCTTCAAAGGTAGCCCCATGTAGAGCGCATTGCAGTTGTCCAAGCAGGAGATAACTAGAACATGCACCACTCTGGTGAGACAGTAAATAAATTATATATCAGAAAGACACCACGGTCTCAGCTGTGCCTCATTTCCAAAAAGGAAACATGTCTGGGTTGCGATTTGGTGCTTCTGCGCATGCGCAAAGCGCAATTTAGCGCTTCTGTGCATGCGGGACCCCCCGAAACCCGGAAGTAACCCGTTCCAGTACTTCCAGTTTTTGGCGGGTCCATAACCTGAAAAACGCAACCTGAAGCATCTGTAACCCGAGGTACAACTGTACCGAATTGGTCCTACATAGTTCATTAAAAAGCTAAGCATTTCATCTACCGTATTTTTCGCCCCATAGGGCGCACCGACCCATAGGGCGCACCTAGTTTTTTTTTGGGGGGGGGGATAAAGAAAAAAAATTATTTCCCCCCCAGGCACCGGGCTGGGGCGGGGGAAGCCCAGGCTTCCTCCAACCCCAGCCCCCAGAACAGGCTGCTCTCCGCAAGCCATGGGAGGGCTCCCGCGGCTTGCGCAGAGCTACCCGAAACCCGGGCCCGACTGCTCAGCGCGCCTGGGCTTCGGGATAGAGGCAGCCCTCCGCAAGCCATGGGAGCCCGGCGGGAACTCCCACCGGCTCCCAAGGCTTGCAGATAGCTTCCTGAAGCCTGCATTTGCCCCATAGGATGCACACACATTTCCCCTTCATTTTTGGAGGGGAAAAGGTGCGTCCTATAGGGTGAAAAATACGGTATGTTCTAACCGTCAACCCGTTAAAATTAAAAGATCTAAGAAACTAATGTCCATTAATTTCAATAGGTTTACCCTGAGTGCATATTCTAAAATACAGGCACATGACCACAGCTTTGTTGGGTGGGGAATAAATAAATAAATGGAAAGCAGAAGAAACCCACTCTCCATTTATTTAATCCCCCCATGTGTGAAGTTGTGATCAATTGCAGTCTTTACTAGCTTTGGGAAGGAGGAAGGACTCTGGACCCTGCCAGAGCCCTCACACCTCCTTCCCAAAGCCAAGCTAGCAGCCCTCCGGAAACCTTGCAGGGCGGCCGTTCCCAAGGGTTCACGGCTTTACGTAATTTTGCCAGCAACAGTATTTTTCTGATCCATTTTTTTTCAGGGGGGCAGGAGGGGATACAGGATTAAAATCAAGCTAGATACAGTACTGGGACGTGGGTGGCGCTGTGGGTTAAACCACAGAGCCTAGGACTTGCCGATCAGAAAGTTGGCGGTTCGAATCCCCACGACGGGGTGAGCTCCCGTTGCTCAGTCCCTGCTCCTGCCAACCTAGCAGTTCAAAAGCACGTCAAAGTGCAAGTAGATAAATAGGTACCGCTCTGGTGGGAAGGTAAACGGTGTTTCCGTGCGCTGCTCTGGTTCACCAGAAGCGGCTTAGTCATGCTGGCCACATGACCCAGAAGCTGTACACCGGCTCCCTCGGCCAATAAAACGAGATGAGCACCGCAACCCCAGAGTCGGCCACGACTGGACCTAATGGTCAGGGGTCCCTTTACCTTTACTAGATACAGTACTGACCTCTGTTGAGGCATGTAATTCAAGATGTATCACTTATGCTGGGGGAGGAGAGCAAAGTTATGTTAAGATGGCATTTGAATTTAGACAACAGTGAGTTTAATTCAATTGCTTTACAGTGGTACCTTGGTTCTCAAACGTTTGGTACTCAAACAACTTGGAACCCAAACACTGCAAACCCGGAAGTAAGTGCTCTGGTTTGCGAGCTTTTTTTGGAAGTCGAATGTGCTCCGTTTTGAGTGTTACGCTTCCGATTTGAGTGCCACACTTCCGTTTTGAGTCTGACACTGACGTCTGTCTGTTTTTGCTATTTATTTTGCATTTTTGTGGCTCTTTGTTTTTGTTCTCGTGACTGTGTGGAACCCAGTTCAGCTACTGATTGATTGATTGATTGATTGATTGTGTGACTGCAGTACATTGCTTATTGCTTTCATTTTATGGATCAATGGTCTCGTTGGATAGCAAAATTCATGTTAAATTGCTGTTTTAGGGGTTGTTTTTAAAAGTCTGGAATGGATTTTACATTACTTTCTATGGGAAAGCATACCTTGGTTTTGGAATGCTTTGGTTTTGGAACAGACTTCTGGAAAGGATTAAGTTTGAGAATCAATGTACCACCGTATTGATTTTGAAAAAGCATTTCAGCCCATTCTTTAACTGAAAAGACCCCCACAGCAAGAAAAGATTTCTCTGCCATTCCTAGTGCTTATAAAAGAGTTCCTTGACATTTTTCTGATTTATTTAGAATGTAATAATTAAAAACATTTGGCCTCGTATCTTTCAAGCAAAACTTTGCTTTCCCTGTGGCCTATGGTGGGGGGGAGAGACTAGGAGCTTTCATTCTATATACAGGACAAGAGTTAAATGAATCCCTGTTTAGCTGATACGTAATATTGAAGTGAGGTAAGGCATGCAGTCTTGAATTCATCTGCATCACCACAAGACTCTACTCTTTTGGCATCTTCCCCGGAAGTCATTTCATCATGTTGAATCATTCAAATGAACAGGCAAGGTCTTACATAAGTGAAGAAAGTCCAAAGAGAAATATATCGTGACCAGAGAAGCATTCCTCTTCCAACTTCCCCAATATCACTTCTGGTAAACAAGACAATGTTTTTTAATCAAAAACCTAAATCTAAGGCCACCTTATTTCTTGAATTAGCCCCAGTCCTAGCCAGCAATTTAATGTGTCATTCCAACAATGAAGTTAACTAGTTGAAGAAAGTGGCTGAGGCATCATCTACACCAGGGGTCAGCAAACTTTTTCAGCAGGGGGCCGATCCACTGTCTTGACTTGACTTGATATTTATTACGGCCATTGGCCCATTACACGACAATTTCCCATACCAACTGTCAGAGCTGCCCTAGGTCCCAGCTCACAAAGGACCAACGCCAGTTCGTTGTTATATAAAACAGTCTTTATTGAAGCTCAGTTTCGCTTTCACAGCCGCAGCGCGCAGCCCTACGTCTCAAACTCTAGACCGCCGAAGCTCCGTCTGAGTCTCCTCCCCCCAGACACCAGTTTAAGACTCTAGCCTTGCTCCACCTCTTCCTTTGCTCTCTCCTCCTCTGGGTCCGCCTGTCCGCTGGGGTCTTCCCCTTTCTAGACTCTTCTGACGCTGAGTCCCCTGAGTCTTCCCCCTGCCTCCGGCGGGCTTTAGGACCTGGTTCCCAATCTGGGTTTTCTGCTGTCCCGCGCGCCTGTACATTCGAACTTGGCGCGCGCGCCCAGCCGGTCACCTTCCTCCTGACGGTTACACTGCTCCTGTCACTGCTTCCCCCTTCGGGGGGCTGGCTGGACCTGACCTCCCCTCCGTTCCCCCGCTCTCCGATGGAGGCGTGGTCAGCCCTGACTCATCTTCTCTCCCTGCTGGAGAAGACGCTGGCCCTGACACATGGGCCTCTTCCCCCCCGCTACGCTCCGGTGGGGAAGCTGGTCCTAATCTCCAGCTGCTGCTTTGGGAGTCCCCGCTGGCCCCTTGCTTCTGGTGCATCCCCCTGGGGCCCCCCTTGCCCTGACCATCGGCGCCCCCTTCTGGGAATCTTCTGATTCGCTGGAGAGGCTCATGGAATCTCTCGGGTCACTGTCATTCTCCCCTCCGCTGCCCTCAGATTCTTCCCCTTCGCTCTCCATCTCCTCTCTCCCCTGTGCCTCTGCTCCTGAGCCCCTGACACCAACATATATGTACTTAGCCGATCCACTGTCCCTCAGACCTTGTGGGGGACCAGACTATATTTTTTTTTGGGGGGGGAGGAATGAACAAATTCCTATGCCCCACAAATAACCCAGAGATGCATTTTAAACAAAAGGACACATTCTACTCATGTAAAAACACGCTGATTCCTGGACTGTCTGTGGACGGAATTTAGAAGCCAATTGGGCCAAATCTGGCCCCCGGGCCTTAGTTTGCCTACCCATGATCTACACTATAAATTTAAAGCACTATCATACCACTTCAACAGCTTCCTCCAAATAATCCTGGCAACTGCAGTTTGTTAAGATTGGTGAGAGTTGTTTATATCTGTATATACAATATATAGATTTTAACCTAATATAGATTTTAACCTCTGGGGAAAACTCTGGAAAAAAGCGACTTGAAGTTTACAGCATGTTATTCTTTGAAGGAGAACTACCTGAAAATGATTTACAGATGGTATTTAACTTGGAGTAGGCTTGCTAAGAGGGACGCGGGTAGCGCTGTGGTCTAAACCACAGAGCCTAGGGCTTGCCGATCAGAAGGTCAGCTGTTTGAATCCCTGCAACGGGGTGAGCTCTCGTTGCTCGGTCCCTGCTCCTGCCAACCTAGCAGTTAAAAAGCGCATCAAAGTTCAAGTAGATAAATAGGTACCGCTCCAGCGGGAAGGTAAATGGCATTTCCATGCGCTGCTCTGGTTCGCCAGAAGTGGCTTAGTCATGCTGACCACATGACCTGGAAGCTGTCTGCGGACAAACGCCAGCTCCCTCGGCCTATAGAGCGAGATGAGTGCCGCAACCCCAGGGTTG